AGAAAACCTTTTCCTACAAATGTTGATGATGCAAGGCTTGGTTAAGAAATAAGGTGTGGGGGTTCCATGCTGTAACATACGTTGATTGGAGAAGGTTTAACTGATGTGTCGGTATCGTCAAATCATTTGACACAGCTCGTACAGTTTCAGTGTTTCCGTAAAACATGCGATACTCCTAGGAGTAAGAATCTCAAGTGTAACTCAGACGATGAATTGTTTTGCATTCACAAGCCCTGAAATAAATTAAAATGTATATGCTTACTGCTTCGCATGTCCACTTATAGAGAACTCTGTTTTTGACATAAGGATACATTAAAAGGTCGATGATAATAAACACTGCTCACAAAAGACCTCTTTGGAACGTCGTTTCCCAAGAAGCTTTCGACAAAAACCGGTAATAATCAAGCCTCGACTGTGGTGATTATAAATTACATTGCATCGGTAATAAACTGATATTAGTTATGAGGGTATACTTTTACGAACGGTTTGTTATCCTCAGCAGGTTGTTCTATCCCCTTCTGATAAATAGAGTTCACTTGTGAATGCAAAACAATTCATCGTCTGAGTTACACTTGAGATTCTTACTCCTAGGAGTATCGCATGTTTTACGGAAACACTGAAACTGTACGAGCTGTGTCAAATGATTTGACGATACCGACACATCAGTTAAACCTTCTCCAATCAACGTATGTTACAGCATGGAACCCCCACACCTTATTTCTTAACCAAGCCTTGCATCATCAACATTTGTAGGAAAAGGTTTTCTCAACATTCGTTGACTTTAAAATATTCCGATGCATTTGATCTGACTCGTGTACTGCTGTGACTAAAGTTTTGCTTTGAGGCTAAAGGACTATGGGTTTTGGCTAAAGCTTGGTGGGAAAAGGTGTAGTTGCGTGACTGATAATTAACTAAATAAATAGCACATACGTGACGTTTTCTTAAGTCTGTTGTATAGCTGTTCTAGTTACGTGACTTATTACATGGCTCCCGTAGTGGTTTCTCCTCAGTGAATACTGGTGCTACGCTTTTCGAAATGTATATACACCGAAATCCTGTCAAATTGAAATGTTAATTCTATGGATCGTACACTTGACGCGATCATCTGTTATCATCGGTGGACAGCGGATAACCCTCCAATTCATAATGTCCTATTGGACTAACTAAAACGACAACTATCAATTACATTCCGCGAATACCCCGATTTGAAGAGACCTTGTTCGCCTAGCGCTCCATTGATTCATCAAGCAGTTGAACAATGCAGTTGAAACGAGTGAGATAAAACCTCATTTAGGATAAATGACTATCACTTTATTGGTAAACAATTAGTCACGAACAAAAGCACTCCAGTTCTGGCAGTGCATCTCATAGCAGATAGATCCACAATCGAAACGGATAAAGACCGTTCTATGAGCAATGAGTAGTAAATCACATTTGCACAAACACACATTTAACCCAGTAGAGTGAATTCTATCCCCAAGTCAAACGAGTACACTCTGACATCAAGGTCACAATTTTTTTTCGCATTCATATCAATCCGATGAGAGGTAAAACAAACATGAAATGGAGACCAAATCAATCTCACTTTGCTTTTGTTTACGTCAGCCAGGAACGCGGCAGCTTTCAAATCCGCTCCGAGTTTCCCGCCAGCCATGGACATTTTTTTCGCGTCCTTTTTCGATCGACGTTTGCGTAGCACACATCGTTTGCAGAACCACAAAAGCAAAAGTAGTCCAAACGTGACCCCGAGAATGCTCAAACTGACAACCGCACCGTAAGGCACTGTAGACATGATGGAAACGAGATTGTGACGAGTTTATGTGTTAGAAATGAGCAAATGTTTGTGATGCTTTGACCGTGCAATCTCGTGACAAAGGCGACTTTGAAGGAAAGTAGAATTAGCGGATTGTTCTACAACTTTGTCCCTCCTACCACACATACACAGAAAAAACACGTGATTAATTTAGTTTAGTGCATGAAATGTGACAATCACGTGGTTTTTATTGTATCACATATCGATGTCTATTGTGTTATAATTTCTTATAGTCTCTTAATTCATATCTAAACAGTAAGTGCTTTGAAGAAAGCCCGATTCAAATCTGGGACTTATCAGGGCAAAGCACCGAAACCGCTTACTGTTTCATCTCTAACATATGTTTGGGATACCTCAAATACTTGATCGCTGCAACACAACCGAGCGCTGCATGTTGTTTTATGAATGAATCTGTGCAGGAGGACTATTCGCTGATTGTCCAGAATACTTTACTTTGCTTTTTACAAAATGAAAAAAATGAATATATTGTTTTACTTGGCTCTTGTTTATTGAATATGCAACTGTACAGAAAGAAAGGGGTTGAGGCCAATCGAAGATTGCTTGAGACCTGACGACAAGGACAGTGGGTGGCAGTGATGGGATTTGACCTCGCAACCTCCATTGATACTAAATTAATGGGGATATCTAAATACTATATCATAAAATCAGAAACGTATTTAACTAATTAAGAATCTTCTGAAAACCGATCGTGCACAGGACTGCTTTTGGGGATATAATCCTGTGAAAAACCTGCACATAAACCTCTGAACATTGCTCACCGCACATTAACTAGTCACTAGTTAAACCAATCTGGTAGTAATCATTCCAACTTACATGGCAAATTTATTCCTTTAGTTGAAAGGAGATCATTTTTTCGGGGGGCGGGAGAGGTAGAGGTTGCCGAAAACGTGACACGAACACAAGGTTTTTTCATCTTTTCTTTCTCAATGATCTTAGTTCATCTGAAGAACTACAATCCTCCTCGTTTCTACTGTAATTCACGACTTTTACAAGTTCTCCAGGAGAGGACGGCTTCCAACTGATTTCTATTATTATATTACCCTTTGACTTCAACCGTATTTCGGTGCCCTGATCCGTAAACTTGTACAGTCATCTGTAGTCATGCGCACTCAACTATTGGTCGCTTCCATATATCGAAAACACCACCAGTGCCAACCTGGCTTCGTAACCAGATATCAGTTAGACCGGTGTCTCCTTCCGTTCTAGCTTAGCGCCTGTAAAAAAACCGATTAGTATTTTAAGTAGCCCATTTTTTCATTGGTTTTGTTGATTGTGGAAACACTTTTTCAGTGTTCCTTTAAACATATCCGACATTCCGATTTCCTGAGAACTATACAGCGCGGCTTGCCTTTTTTAAATATCTCAGTGTGCCAACGTTCTCCGAAATTTTCTCGCCTCAAACTACAGCTCCTTGATATTGATGATTGCTCTCCATATGGCTAACCTCATCCCATTTCAGCTTAAGCCACACCAGTGACTAGTGACCAGTTATGACTAGAAAACAAACGGTCGCCAGAAACATCCTCCAATTCTTCATCGCCAGCATTATCGCGAAGTAACGCTGCTACTCTCTACGCGTTTTACCAACCGGATTGTGTATTCGATCAATCACGAAGCCTACGATACCCTCATACTACACCACGATGAATACCACTCCCGTCGGTGATCACTGTAAGAAGTCTGTTGGGTTTTGGTGCTGCTTTGGTGCAAATATGATCGTTTGATATGCTTGCTCCCTGAAAACTATTCACTTCTCCATTGTCCTTTCAGAACTGTTCTCCATTGACAACAATTGGAATAGCTCTCCAGCATTGTCAGACACGTTCTAGAAAAATGTTTTTTCGTTAATAAAATATCACAATCACGACCTCGGAGACCACAATTTTGTCTAAGTTTTTCCTTTAGTTGGATAGTTTCGGCGCATTGTGTATTCAAAGAACCTCACTTGGCTTCCCATTGAAGCTCAAACTCGTTTCTGAATTCATTTTGTAGCTACCAGCAGCTGCCAATTATCAATTTAAGTATATGGTTTGTGCATCCCGAAAGCTGAACGCTCGGCAACTGCGGGGCCGCAGTAAAACCAGAATTGTAGAAAGCAAAGAAAGAACAAAACATGGTTAACGACATCATCGAGGTAACTTCAAAAAGNAAGCGATGCGTTCGGAATTACCAAGAAAACTGGCAAAATATGGCATCACGTACACAACAGACAGTTTTAACGGGGTTGGGTGGCATGAGAAGATACATACTTTACAAGATCTGAGTGAAGAAGTATCCGAGAATTTCATGGGATATCTAGAGAAAAGCGTACAGTCCTTTGTCATCCCTCCGGAAGATTATGGTGGACCAGTAAAGTCACAGAAGAAAAGACAAGCCATAAAAGTACGTTGGATCTGGGAGAAAAAGTCAAATGAAACTAACAAGGGTATCACATTAAAAAAATATCCTAATCTTTCAAAATACCGTTCTAACTTGACCTGACCAACATAACGCGCAGCGAACCATTACACCCATATATCTAAAATTGACGGGTTGGTCAAGAGTATCCCATTTTATGCATACTGTTGGACAGGATTATTAAAGATCAGTGCAAGGACGCCCTGTGAGATGTGAGAACATTTCTACCTATTTTGGAGTGATAGGGATTCAAATTGGGTGAAGTTGACCAATCAACAAACATGAAAAGGTCGAGTTAAACGGTGAAAGTGACAGAAGCA